CCCCTGCCCGCGGCGCGGGACCCCAGCCGCAGAGACCCCCCAGCCCCCTCCGCCGCTCCCCGAGACCCTCGGGCGCCTCCCTCCCCCCACTGCGCCCAGGGAGGCACTGATGCCCCGCCCCCGGCCTGGCCAGAACCCCCTTTCCTGGTTCATGCCACAGCCCGGTGGTGTCGCTGAGAGGGGCCGAAGGGGGGGAGCGGGGCAGGAGGGGCGCTGGGGACCCCGTTTCCTGCCACCCCGTGCTGGTTCCTGAGCCCTCGCCTGCTCAGACGCCCTCACCTGGCACCCAGCCCCGCTCCTGCGCCCACCAAGCCCAAGTCCACGCCTGGTGGCCGGCAGCCGCCCCGCCGGCTTGCGGGCGCCGGTGCGCTGCGGGCCCCCAGCCAGGCGGCAGCCCCGCTCCTGCGCCCACGCGCTGCGGCTCCAGCTATTTATAGGCCGTCGCTGCGGAGACCAGGTGGGACTGCGGCGTGGGCAGGGGCTCGGGAGAGCGGCGCGCCAGGAGGTGGCCGCGCTCGCGCTCCGTGCAGCCGCCGGCCTGCTGGCCTGCAGGTGAGATGCTCTCAGGGCCGGGCCGCGCTTGGGGTCGGCGCCCGGTGCCTGAGGTGAGCTCTCCTGCCGCGCCTCGCACTCCACCGGCGCTGGCCAGGTGCCCTGCCTGCAGGCTGGGGGAAGGGGGAGCAGGGAGTGTGGCCTGATGGGGGAGGGTCAGTGTGGGGGCGCCGCTGGGCGGTCTCAGCAGGAGCGGGCCGGGTGGGGCCGCAGTGGCCGAGAGCAGGCTTCGGCGTGAGGAGGAGCCCGGTCGCCCTGGGGGTGGGGTGAGCGCGCTCAGGTGTGCCCCTTCTGCTCCCCCAGGGGGCCATGTCGGGCGAGGACCCCGAGGTGCCTGCGCTGCCCGAGGACGGCTCCAACGGCAGCAGCGGCTCCCCCAGCCCCGGGGACACCCTGCCCTGGAACCTGGGCAAAACGCAGCGGAGCCGGCGCGGCGGCGGGGGCCCCGGGGCCAACGGGAGTGTCCTGGACCCCGCGGAGCGGGCGGTCATCCGCATTGCAGGT